CCTGTGTGTGACCCATGTCTCGCTACCATATAGCAGGGTGGGGAGGACCACTGCTTGATATATGTGTAACTTTGCAGATAATTTCAGCCCCTGCAGCTGAAGACGGGTACAGAGTCTGCCAAAGGCTTGAGATGCACATCTGATCCGATGTTGAATCTCTACCATGTGTGCGGTAGTGGACAGGTGGGAGCCGAGGTATTGAAAGTGGATAAATAGAGAGGGTAGTACTGTTAAGCTGGATGGATGGTGGAGTTGTGGCTGAACCAGGGGCAGGCTGAAAGAGAATCGAGTCTTACGTACATTCACCTTAAGGCTGAAGTGTGCATAGGCATTTGCGTAGGTGTTCAGTAATGGAAGCTATCGACACTTTTGTTCTTGCCTAGAGTCGTCTTATGTTAAAAAGACCCTTCACCCGGTACTCGATGTTCACCTGCTGGCTAAATTGGCACTGGCACGAGTAAGGAAGGCAGCCAAGAAGATGGAAAAGAGAGTTGGTGCCAGTACACATCCTTGTTTAACCCCTTGTTTGGATGGGGAAGAACTCTGACTGGGTGCCGTTCATGCCATCGTAGAGTTGCCTCACTATGGCGATGAATTTTGGTGGGCAGCCAAAACGGCTGTGGGTCCACCAGAGGGCTTCCCTGTTGACCGAGTCGAAGGCCTTTAGACGATTAAAGCCATGGACAGGTCACGACACTATTCTCTGCACTTATACTGTATCTGGCGGGCAGCAACGATCATGTCAGTGGTGCCACGTGATGGTCTAAATCCACATTGAGATTCTGGGAGGAAGTTCTCCGCCTCAGGAAGAAGTCTGTTTAGCAGGACTTGGGCGATAATCTTGCCAGCTACGGACAGCAGCGAGATCCCACGAGTAGGCTACAGTCTGACTGGTCTCCTTGTTCTTATAAATGTTGACGATGAGGCGTCTCTAAGAGCGTGAGGGATTTTCATTATACACACACACACACACACACACACACACACACACACACACACACCTCACAACAACTATAATAATAATAATAATATCACAGAAAGCAAACTTGTTCTTGTCCGTCCTGGCTAAAAAGAAGTGGTAGGTGACCCAGGCTGTCCAATCACATCGGCGAGGGAGCTGTCTTTCACCCGTGCGTAGTAATACATCCTGCCACACAAGGGTCCACTGAGGGGAGGGGGGACCGAGGGGAAAGGGAGGGGGAAAAAAGTAGGAGGGGTGTGTGTGGAAGAGTAGAGAAAGGAAAGAGGGTAGGAGGGAGGCTACGTTTGGAGGATAGAATTTGTGCGAGTTTTTTCTTCCAGGATAGCAAACGCGTCATCTATTTGCCAGCCAATCAGATCAGTTTCTCCTACGTCATCTATTTGCCAGCCAATCAGATCAGTTTCTCCTGCTACGTCATCTATACGCCAGCCAAACATCATACGTCACCTATTTACTAACCAATCATAAAACATTAAATCATTGTCTTAACCAATAAGAATAGAGTTGTTATTAAAGTCTTTGGTGTACAGTTGCCTGATTTAACTTACAGTCCCTTGTGTGTGTGTGTGTGTGTGTGTGTGTGTGTGTGTGTGTGTGTGTGTGTGTGTGTGTGTGTGTGTGATAACTCTCCCTCATCCTCTGGGGAGAGTTTGGTGAAGTTGATAACACACACAAAGTCATGTGTACACACAGCCACGTGTATATAATCACGTGTACACACAGACACTTATATACATAGCCACATGTACACATACTCACGTGTACATGCAACCACGTGTACACACATTAGAATGCAGTGTCTTGATTCCAAATCTAGGAGAGAAGAGGGAGGAGGGAGGGAGGGAGGAGGAGGGAGGGAAGTGAGGGTGGGGAAGGGAGGGAAGGAGGGAGAGAGGGAGGAGAGAGGGAGGAGGGAGGGGAGGAGGAGGAGGAAGGAGGTAAAGGGAGGAAGGAGGGAGAGAGGAGGAGAGAGGGAGGAGGGAGGGGAGGGAGGGGAGGAGGGAAGGGAGGTAAGGGAAGGGAGGGAAGGAGGGAGAGAGGGGAGGGAGAGAGGGGAGGGAGGAGGGGAGGAGGGGAGGGGAGGGAAGTGAGGTAAGGAAGGGAGGAAGAGGGAGAGAGGAGGGGAGGGAGGGGAGGAGAGAAGGAGGTAAGGAAGGAGGGAAGGAGGGGAGAGAGGGAGGGAGAGAGGGGAGGGGAGGAGGGAGGGGAGGGAGGGAGGGGAAGTGAGGTAAGGAAGGGAGGAGGAGGAGAGAGGGGAGGGAGGGGAGGGAGGGAGAGAAGTGAGGTAAGGAAGGGAGGGAAGGGAGGGAGAGAGGGAGGAGAGAGGGGAGGAGGAGAGGGGAGGGGAGGAGGAAGGAGGTGGAAGGAAGGGGAGGGGAAGGAGGGGAGAGAGGAGGGGAGAGAGGGAGGGAGGGAGAGGGGGGGGAGGAGGGAGGAGGGAGGGGAAGGAAGGGAGGAAGGAGGGAGAGAGGAGGGAGGGAGGAGGGAGAGAAGTGAGGTAAGGAAGGGAGGGAAGGAGGAGAGGGGAGGGAGAGAGGGAGGGAGGGAGGGAGGAGGGAGGGGAGGGAAGGAGGTAAGAAGGGAGGGAGGGAGGGAGAGAGGGAGGGAAGAGGGAGGAGGGAGGAGGGAGGAGGAGGGAGGGAGGGGAGGGAGGAAGTGAGGTAAGGAAGGAGGGAAGGAGGGAGAGGGGGAGGGGGGGAGGGAGGGGAAGGAGGTAAGAAGGAGGGAAGGAGGGGAGAGAGGGGAGGGAGAGAGGGGAGGAGGGGAGGGGAGGAGGGGAGGAGGGTGAGGTAAGGAAGGGAGGGAAGGAGGGAGAGAGGGAGGGAGAGAGGGGAGGAGGAGGGAGAGGGGAGGGGAGGGAGGGAAGGGAGGTAAGGGAAGGAGGGAAGGAGGGAGAGAGGAGGGAGGGGAGGGAGGGGAGGGAGGTGAGGTAAGGGAGGGGAAGGAGGGAGAGGGGAGGAGAGAGGGAGGGAGGGAGGGGAGGGAGGGGAGGGGAGGAAGTGAGGTAAGGAAGGAGGGAGGGAGAGGGAGGAGGAGGGAGGGAGGAAGTAGGGAGGGGAAGGAGGAGGGGAGGGGAGGAGGGAGGAAGTGAGGGGAAGGAAGGGAGGAGGGAGGGGAGGAGGGATGGAGGGAGGAGGAAGGAGGGAGGAGGGGAGGAGAGAGGGAGGAGGAGGAGGGAAGGAGGGAGAGGGGAGGGAGGTGGGAAGGAGGGAGGGAGGGAGGGACACATTCTCCCCTCAGTACAAAAAATCCCTCATATCCCCGGAAGCTGAGGGAATCCCCGGCCAGAGAGTGAAGTATGGACTGTCGGCCGCCTCCTGGAGGGTACTTTGTGTCTCATCAATTGTCCTGAGCCAGAGGGGGGGGGGGGTGGGGGAGGGGGGAGGGGAGGTGGGAGGTGGGGAGGCTTGTTATGAGGAGGGAGGAGGGGAGGAGGGAGGAGGGGGGAAGGCTTCTGAGGAGGAGGAGGGGAGGGGAGGAGGGAGGAGGGAAGGCTTGCTATGAGTAGGAGGGAGGGAGGGAGGTTAGAGAGAGAGAGAGAGAGAGAGAGAGAGAGAGAGAGAGAGAGAGAGAGAGAGAGAGAGAGAGAGAGAGGTCAACACACAAAGGGGAGGTAAAGCCTGATTTACCCAGTAATTGGAAAGTTGACGATCCGCGCATATGGAGGAGGAGGAGGGAGGAGGAGGGGAGGAGGAGGGAGGTGAAGGAAAGAGTGATGTATGGAAAGGAGATGAACTGAGAGAGAAAAGATAACAGTGTGCATGACAGCAAAACAAATACAGACACAAAGATGGTGGCACCATATAGAGGCGTGTGGCACCATATAGAGGCGTGGCACTATAGAGAGTGTGGCAACTACATAGAGGCGTGTGGCACCATATAGAGGTGTGACATTATAGAGGGGCGTGTGTGGCACCATATAGAGGCGTGTGGCACCATATAGAGGTGTGTGGCACCATATAGAGGCGTGTGGCACCATATAGAGGTGTGTGGCACCATAGAGGCGTGTGGCACCATATAGAGGTGTGTGGCACCATATAGAGGCGTGTGTGCACCATATAGAGGTGTGTGGCACCATATAGAGGCGTGTGTGGGCACTATAGGAGGTGTGTGGCACCATAGAGGCGTGTGGCACCATATAGAGTCGGGCACCATATAGAGGTGTGTGGCACATAGAGGCGTGTGGCACCATATAGAGGTGTGTGGCACCATAGAGTAAGTGGCACCATATAGAGGTGTGTGGCTACATAGAGGCGTGTGGGCACCATATAGAGGTGTGTGGCACCATATAGAGTGTGGCACCACATAGAGGTGTGTGCACCATATAGAGGCGTGTGTGGCACCATATAGAGTCGTGTGTGACAATACATAGAGGTGTGTGGCACCATATAGAGGCGTGTGTGGCACCATATAGAGATGTGTTGCACCATATAGAGGGTGGCACCATATAGAGGGGTGTGGCACCATATAGAGGCGTGTGGCACCATATAGTGGCGTGTGGCACCATATAGAGTGCACCATATAGAGGTGTGTGGGCCATATAGAGTGTGTGGCACCATATAGAGATGTTGCACCATATAGAGGCGTGGCACCATATAGAGGCGTGTGGCACCATAGAGGCGTGTGGCACCATATAGAGGTGTGTGGCACCATATAGAGATGTGTTGCTCCATATAGAGGCGTGTGGCACCATAGAGGGGTGTGGCACCATATAGAGATGTGTTGCACCATATAGAGGCGTGTGGCACCATATAGAGGGGTGTGGCACTCAGAGGCGTGTGGCACCATATAGAGGCGTGTGGCACCATATAGAGGCGTGTGGCACCATATAGAGGCGTGTGGCACCATATAGAGGCGTGTGGCACCATATAGAGGTGTGTGGCACCATATAGAGATGTGTTGCACCATATAGAGGTGTGTGGCACCATATAGAGATGTGTTGCACCATATAGAGATGTGTTGCACCATATAGAGGTGTGTGACACAGTAACTCAGATTGTTCTCGTGTGGTTCACAGGTCACCCGAGGTTCATGAACCAACTGTCGTGTGGCACTGAGGTGGTATCCATAGCTGGTGAGTGGCTGACAGCTGCTGCCAACACCAACATGTTTACCTACGAGATCGCCCCTGTCTTTATCCTGATGGAACACGTAAGTCTCTCTCTCTCTCTCTCTCTCTCTCTCTCTCTCTCTCTCTCTCTCTCTTCAGTATTTAATAAATTTCAATGACAATATATTTTGAAAAGTCATTATATCGTTATTAAATTTTAAGACATTTTTAAGTAACCTGACATTTTCAAACCTCTATACAGATCCCTACTATTATCAATATTTTCATGTTATTGTTTATATTTTCTACGTAAAGTTCTATTCCTCTAAAGTCATTCTATATATTCAAAAATTCTTGGAGTTTTAACATGTAATAGAGCACAAGTCTTGTATCTGCTGCCCTGGTCCTCGCTGCCAGACACAAGATCTTGGAATTTTAACATAACATTTAACATCAATGCGAGATTTAAACTGGGGTTTGTGGCCGCCAGGTGACGATGAAGCACATGAGGAAGATCATCGGGTACAAGGCTGGTGACAGTATCCTGGCGCCAGGAGGTTCTGTCAGTAACCTGTACGCCGCCCTCGCTGCCAGGCACAAAATGTTCCCAGAGTACAAGAAGAAGGGTCTGCTAGCTCTACCAGGCGAACTCTGCATGTTCACCAGCCTTCATGTGAGTTATATTCATTCTGTTCATGTTCCTTCATATGAGGTTTGTTCACTTGTTCATTATCTTTCATGTAAGTTATGCTCACTTGTTCACTTTCTTTTATTTAAGTTTTGTTCATGTGTTTTCTAGAACTAACAGATCTCCCCAAAACCGTTTTCTGCAGAGCCACTACTCCATGATGGGAGCAGCGGCCGCTATGGGTCTTGGTACTGACAACCTTATTGAAGTTCCTGTTGATGAAAAGTGAGTCACTGGTTCACATTCTTACTGTATAATGAGTGTCTTAAGTATGGTTCACAGTCTAATGATAACTATGTAATGAGTGTCTTAAACCTGGTCCACATTCTCAAACATTTTAACGATAAAAAACAAGTCCTCTCATCTCCTTTCAACACTTGTCTCCTCCAGGGGGCGTATGATTCCGTCAGAGCTTGACCGACTCATCCAGGAGGCCAAGGCTAAGGGCAAGATTCCATTCTTGGTGTGCGCTACTGCTGGAACCACCGTCATGGGAGCATTTGACCCCCTCCATGCCGTGGCTGACGTCTGTGAGAAGTATAAACTCTGGTTCCATGTTGATGTAAGTTTTCGTCAACTTTTTGTGTGGTTTAATGGTGATTTATAGTGGTTTAGCTCGTAATTTAAAATATAATAATCTACTTTGATATGTTGTATCGAGAAGCTTCATATGTCTCTGTCAATGTGCAGTTAATAATGAGAATAAAATAATGATGATGTTGTTTACACTCATCACCAAAAAGAATCTTTACTGAGGGATCCGATGAATTTCACAATGAACACCTGGACTCCTGTTGTCTCGGTAGGGTTATCAAAATCCTTCATCCATTGTGTCATATTTTATAACACAAAATCGTAGAGATCCAGTAGTGACGGTGTTGTGTTGTCTAGGCTGCGTGGGGTGGTGGCGTCCTGCTTTCCAAGAACCAACGCCACAAGATGGACGGCGTTGAACGATCCCAGTCTATCACCTGGAACCCCCACAAGCTGATGGGTGTGCTCCTCCAGTGCTCCACCGTGCACTTCCAGGAAGACGTGAGTAACCAGAAGCCTCTACCAGGGTTTCCAGGAAGGTTTCAAGAGTTCTATTAAAGCCTAAATCACAAGTGGGGAACAGGTAGTAATTTATTATGTAGCTTTCCACTCGACCTATCCAAGAGGGACACAAATATATGAGGTAACCCACTTCTTTCGTCTTATTCGTTTAGTCTTTTTCTTCGTCTACCATATACGTATTTCTACTTGTTTTACGTTTATCAGTTACCTTTAAGTATTCTAAGTAACGATTCTTGTTTTTGTTTTTTTCATGGCTCTCTCTCTCTCTCTCTCTCTCTCTCTCTCTCTCACACCTCCTCCTTTACTTCCAGGGTCTGTTGATATCTTGTAACCAGATGTGCGCCGACTACCTCTTCCAGCAAGACAAACCTTACGACGTGAACTACGACACGGGCGACAAAGTCATCCAGTGCGGCCGTCACAACGACATCTTTAAGCTGTGGCTCTTGTGGCGCTCTAAGGTAATGAATAGGGCTTACTAGTAGGTGTTCTGGAGCTCTAAGGTAATGAATAGGGCTTACTAGTAGGTGTTCTGGTGCTCTAAGGTAATGAATAGGGCTTACTAGTAGGTGTTCTGGAGCTCTAAGGTAATGAATAGGGCTTACTAGTAGGTGTTCTGGCGCTCTAAGGTAATGAATAGGGCTTACTAGTAGGTGTTCTGGCGCTCTAAAGTAATGAATAGGGCTTACTAGTAGGTGTTCTGGTGCTCTAAGGTAATGAATAGGGCTTACTAGTAGGTGTTCTGGCGCTCTAAGGTAATGAATAGGGCTTACTAGTAGGTGTTCTGGTGCTCTAAGGTAATGAATAGGGCTTACTAGTAGGTGTTCTGAAACTCTAAGGTAATGAATAGGGCTTACTAGTAGGTGTTCTGGCGCTCTAAGGTAATGAATAGGGCTTACTAGTAGGTGTTCTGGTGCTCTAAGGTAATGAATAGGGCTTACTAGTAGGTGTTCTGGCGCTCTAAGGTAATGAATAGGGCTTACTAGTAGGTGTTCTGAAGCTCTAAGGTAATGAATAGGGCTTACTAGTAGGTGTTCTGGAGCTCTAAGGTAATGAATAGGGCTTACTAGTAGGTGTTCTGGCGCTCTAAGGTAATGAATAGGTCTTACTAGTAGGTGTTCTGGTGCTCTAAGGTAATGAATAGGGCTTACTAGTAGGTGTTCTGGCGCTCTAAGGTAATGAATAGGGCTTACTAGTAGGTGTTCTGAAGCTCTAAGGTAATGAATAGGGCTTACTAGTAGGTGTTCACAATTGCTCTAGGTAATGAATAGGGCTTACTAGTAGGTGTTCTGGTGCTCCTAAGGTAATAGATAGGGCTTACTATGAAAAGCCCAGGTGTTCAGGGCTCTAAAAGGTAATGAATAGGGCTTACTAGTAGGTGTTCTGGTGCTCTAAAGAGTAATGAATAGGGCTTACTAGTGGGTGTTCTGGTGCTCTAAGGTAATGAATAGGGCTTACTAGTAGGTGTTCTGTAGTGCTCTAAGGTAATGAATAGGGCTTACTAGTAGGTGTTCTGGTGCTCTAAGGTAATGAATAGGGCTTACTAGTACAGAGTGTTCTGGAGCTCTAAGGTAATGAATAAGGGCTTACTAGTGCAGGTGTTCTGGGTATAAGGTAATGAATAGGGCTTACTAGTAGGTGTTCTGGAGCTCTAAGGTAATGAATAGGGCTTACTAGTAGGTGTTCTGGCGCTCCTAAGGTAATGAATAGGGCTTACTAGTAGGTGTTCAGGAGCTCTAAGGTAATAGAGAAGACACTAGTAGGTGTTCTGGTGCTCTAAAGGTAATGAATAGGGCTTACTAGTAGGTGTTCTGGAGCTCTAAGGTAATGAATAGGGGCTTACTATTAGGTGTTCTGGTGCTCTAAAAAAGGTAATGAATAGGAGCTTACTAATGGGTGTTCTGGCCTCCTAAAAGATGTGGAGTCTTACTAGTGGGGTGTTCTGGGCTCTAAAGAGTAATGAATAGGGCTTACTGGTAGGTGTTCTGAAATTGCTCTGGAGTAATGAATAGGAACTTACTAGTAGGTGTTCTGGCGCTCTAAGGTAATGAATAGGTCTTACCTAGTAGGTGTTCAGGGCTCTAAGGTAATGAATAGGGCTTACTGTTAGGTGTTCTGGAGCTCTAAGGAGGTAATAGATAGGGCTTACTAGTAGGTGTTCTGGTGCTCCTAAGTGTGAATAAGAGTCTTACTAGTAGGTGTTCAGGAGCTCTAAAAGGTAATGAATAGAACACACTAGTAGGTGTTCTGGTGCTCTAAGGTAATGAATAGGGCTTACTAAGTGGTGTTCTGGCTCTAAAAGGTAATGAATACTAGGTCTTAGTAGGTGTTCAGGAGCTCTAAGGTAATGAATAGGGCTTACTAGTAGGTGTTCTGGAGCTCTAAGGTAATGAATGGGGCTTACTAGTAGGTGTTCTGGTGCTCTAAGGTAATGAATGGGTCTTACTAGTAGGTGTTCAGGGCTCCTAAGGTAATGAATAGGGCTTACTAGTGGGTGTTCTGGTGCTCCTAAGGTAATCAGCCAAAGGGCTTACTAGAGTAAGGTGTTCTGGTGCTCCTAAAAGGTAATGAATAGGGAGGCTTACTAGTAAGAGTGTTCTAGACTCTAAGGTAATGAATGGGGAGCTTACTAGTAGGTGTTCTGGAGCTCCTAAGGTAATGAATAGGAGGCTTACTAAAATGAGTGTTCTGGTGCTCCTAAGGTAATAAGATAGGGCTTACTGAAATGGGTGTTCTGGAGCTCTAAGGTAATGAATAGAGACTTGCAAATAGGTGTTCTGGTGCTCTAGGTAATGAATAGGGCTTACTATTGGGTGTTCTGGTGCTCCTAAGGTAATGAATAGGTCTTACTAGTAGGTGTTCTGGGCTCTAAGGTAATGAATAGGGCTTTACTAGTAGGTGTTCTGAAGCTCTAAGGTAATGAATAGGGCTTACTAGTAGGTGTTCTGGTGCTCTAAGGTAATGAATAGGGCTTACTAGTAGGTGTTCTGGTGCTCTAAGGTAATGAATAGGGCTTACTAGTAGGTGTTCTGGTGCTCTAAGGTAATGAATAGGGCTTACTAGTAGGTGTTCTGGTGCTCTAAGGTAATGAATAGGGCTTACTAGTAGGTGTTCTGGTGCTCTAAGGTAATGAATAGGTCTTACTAGTAGGTGTTCTAGTGCTCTAAGGTAATGAATAGGGCTTACTAGTAGGTGTTCTGGAGCTCTAAGGTAATGAATAGGGCTTACTAGTAGCTGTTCTGGTGCTCTAAGGTAATGAATAGGGCTTACTAGTAGGTGTTCTGGAGCTCTAAGGTAATGAATAGGGCTTACTAGTAGGTGTTCTGGTGCTCTAAGGTAATGAATAGGTCTTACTAGTAGGTGTTCTGGAGCTCTAAGGTAATGAATAAGGCTTACTAGTAGGTGTTCTGGTGCTCTAAGGTAATGAATAGGGCTTACTAGTAGGTGTTCTGGCGCTCTAAGGTAATGAATAGGGCTTACTAGTAGGTGTTCTGGAGCTCTAAGGTAATGAATAGGGCATACTAGTAGGTGTTCTGGTGCTCTAAGGTAATGAATAGGTCTTACTAGTAGGTGTTCTGGAGCTCTAAGGTAATGAATAAGGCTTACTAGTAGGTGTTCTGGTGCTCTAAGGTAATGAATAGGTCTTACTAGTAGGTGTTCTGGAGCTCTAAGGTAATGAATAAGGCTTACTAGTAGGTGTTCTGGAGCTCTAAGGTAATGAATAGGGCTTACTAGTAGGTGTTCTGGTGCTCTCTAAGGTAATGAATAAGGAGAAACTACTAGTAGGTGTTCTGGTTATCCTAAGGTAATGAATAGGGGCTTACTAGTAGGTGTTCTGGCGCTCTAGGTAATGAATAGGGCTTACTGCTAGTAGGTGTTCTAAGCGCTCTGGAGGGTATGAATAGGGCTTACTAGTAGGTGTTCTAGCGCTCTAAAAGGTAATGAATAGGTCTTACTAGTAGGTGTTCTGGAGCTCTAAGGTAATGAATAGGGCTTACTAGTAAGAATGATGGCGCTCTAAGGTAATGAATAGGGCTTACTAGTAGGTGTTCTGGCGCTCTAAGGTAATGAATAGGGCTTACTAGTAGGTGTTCTGGTGCTCTAAGGTAATGAATAGGGCTTACTAGTAGGTGTTCTGGCGCTCTAAGGTAATGAATAGGGCTTACTAGTAGGTGTTCTGAAGCTCTAAGGTAATGAATAGGGCTTACTAGTAGGTGTTCTGGAGCTCTAAGGTAATGAATAGGGCTTACTAGTAGGTGTTCTGGCGCTCTAAGGTAATGAATAGGTCTTACTAGTAGGTGTTCTGGTGCTCTAAGGTAATGAATAGGGCTTACTAGTAGGTGTTCTGGCGCTCTAAGGTAATGAATAGGGCTTACTAGTAGGTGTTCTGAAGCTCTAAGGTAATGAATAGGGCTTACTAGTAGAAGCATTCTGGCGCTCTAAAGAGTAATGAATAAGGGCTTACTAATGCCAGGTGTTCTACCAATTGCTCTAAAAAAGGTAATGAATAGGGCTTAGTAAGTGTTCTGGTACTCTAAGGTAATGAATAGAGACACTAGTAGGTGTTCTAGACTCCTACATTGTGAATGGAGGTCTTACTAGTAGGTGTTCTGGCGCTCTAAGGTAACTGAATAGGGCTTACTAATGCAGGTGTTCTGGAGCTCTAAGGTAATGAATAGGGCTTACTAGTAAGTGTTCTGGAGCTCAGGTAATGGACAGACTTACTAGTAGGTGTTGGTGCTCTAAAAGGTAATGAATAGGTCTTACTAGTAGATGTTCTGGTGCTCCTAAGGTAATGAATAGGTCATACTAGTAGATTGTTACCAATTGCTCTAAAGGTAATGAATAGGTCTTACTATTAGGTGTTCTGGAGCTCTAAGGTAATGAATAAGACTTACTAGTAGGTGTTCTGGTGCTCTAAGGTAATGAATAGGGCTTACTAGTAGGTGTTCTGGTGCTCTAAGGTAATGAATAGGGCTTACTAGTAGGTGTTCTGGTGCTCTAAGGTAATGAATAGGGCTTACTAGTAGGTGTTCTGGTGCTCTAAGGTAATGAATAGGTCTTACTAGTAGGTGTTCTAGTGCTCTAAGGTAATGAATAGGGCTTACTAGTAGGTGTTCTGGTGCTCTAAGGTAATGAATAGGGCTTACTAGTAGGTGTTCTGGAGCTCTAAGGTAATGAATAGGGCTTACTAGTAGGTGTTCTGGTGCTCTAAGGTAATGAATAGGGCTTACTAGTAGGTGTTCTGGAGCTATTTGATTTTTTTTGTAACCAAAGAAAATTTTATCACGCAGGGGGTTGAAGCTAACATGAAGCACAAGAATCACTATATTTGAAGCAGTGTCTCATATTTTGCACCATACAGCGTCAGTTATTCATCATTTATCATCATCCCTCGTCAGTTATTCATCATTTATCATCATCCCTCGTCAGTTATTCATCATTTATCATCATCCCTCGTCAGTTATTCATCATTTATCATCATCCCTCGTCAGTTATTCATCATTTATCATCTCGTACTCGTCAGTTATTCATCATTTATCATCATCCCTCGTCAGTTATTCATCATTTATCATCATCCCTCGTCAGTTATTCATCATTTATCATCATCCCTCGTCAGTTATTCATCATTTATCATCATCACTACACACAGGGTGATGAAGGGTTCGAGAAACACATGGACCATCTGTTCGAGATGACGTCGTATATGATTCAGCGTATGAAGCAACACCCAGACAAGTATGAGCTGTTGAACGACGAGCCTGAGTGTACTAACGTGTGCTTTTGGTACGTCCCTCACCGCCTCCGCTCCATGAAGGCTGGACCAGACAGGCACAAGCTTCTGGGAGACGTAAGTGTGTGTGTGTGTGTGTGTGTGCGTGTGCTATAAGAGTTGAGTGTGTGTGTGTGTGTGCGTGTGTGTGTGTGTGTGTGTGTGTGTGTAATTCTACTACTACTACTACTACTACTACTACTACTACTACTACTAATAATAATAATAATAATAATAATAATAATAATAATAATAATAATAATAATAATAATAATAATAATAATACAGGTATGCGAACCCTTATCCAGCGTCTTGTGTAAACAGTTGTCTGCCAAGGTCACACGTATCTCGCCTGCGACCCGGGGATATGAACCTGGGATACAGTCATAACAAACAGACTGTACTCCCACTGTAACGTCATTACTGAAACTTATTTCTTTTCATTATACAATATTCATGATTCGTGTAGATAGTATAGTGAATTTTTTGTAATGTGAATAAGGTTAAAATACAACATTATTAGAATATTTTAATTATAATACATGAGACTTTAAGCAATAAGGACAAGATTCGGTAAAGGAAGTTATTTGTATTTTTCGAGGTATTTTTTCACTTTTCGATTTTACGTAGTACTCTGTGCGATCAAACTACTCAATTCCGCCAGACAGGAAGGATAGATTCGTTGAAACAATAAAAAACACTAGAGAACTTTGCTTTGTTTTTCTTAGTAATTTCAGACGTTGTACTCTACCAAATCTGTACCAACAATAATTCAAATGATGTACCAAGAAAGTCGAGATTTACTTCGAACAAACTTTCTTCTCAAAATGCCTTAACACGTGGCATGCGTGAATTTCAGCACCACGGAAACAATATGTCTAAGATGGCCCCCGTAGGTGGTGGGAGAACCAAGAGGAAGTGTTAACCAGAGAGTTAAGTTGATAAAGGTGTCTGAGTCAGGACTATGGTGACGGTACCACAATCTGTGACCTTAAGAAAATTTGCTTGAATTCTATGGTGCTAGTGACTTGCCCAAGGTTTTGTTTTGCATAGATACATTGAAGGACTTGAGCTCCAAAATCCAGTAAACCTCTCGAATCTGGGCATCCTCAGGTCCCAAGCTCGCCGGATAAGGGATACCATATCTGTAACAGTAATTAACACATATCTGCTTGTATACTTTTCAAGACGTGTCAGCCTTCAGCGGGAGACACAGTATATACAAGTGTGATTTATCTTTCCCTACACCACCTTTCTCCTCCTGCAGGTTCAGCCTATCCTAAAGGGCCGCATGATGACTGCCGGGACCCTCATGATCGGCTACCAGCCTCTCGACCACCACCCCAACTTCTTCAGAAACATCATCTCCTCTCAGGCCGTAAGGAGGGAAGACATCGACTTCATGTTGGAGGAGCTCGACCGTCTGGGCTACGACTTGTAAAGTGAGGGTGTCGCAACGGGCATGCGTGCGAGTGGTGCTGGGGAGAGAGCGCGTGCGGCCCTCAAGACGAGAGGGACAAGATGAGCTCTGACAGTGTTTCCGTAGGCCCACTCGCCTAGAGGTCTTTGGAAGAATGTTTTGAAGTCTTCCGGAGGACCCCTGGCGTGGATCTCTCCTGCAGACGCCTTAAGATAGCTCTGAGAATCGCCTCTTAAGGAGACATCTTGAGAACTACTCTTAAGGAGGCTCAGAGCGCAGTCTGAAGGAGGATTCTGACGAAGACCAAAACGCAGTACAAACTAAGACTCTCTTAGCGGGACCCCCACCTCTCCTTCAGCGGCGACGACTTAGCCAGGACCCGCTGAGTTGCCCCTCGTCATGAGTCTCTCTGCTCCCCCAAGGAGGGTTTGTCTTGTCAACTCAAGGATCAACTGCTTCAGAGAACATAGAAGCTTTGTTAAACTGGCCACGGAATATGTTGAGAGCATGTTGTATGTTGCTATATGTGGTGTTGTCTTATAGTTTAGTAACGCCAGTGTCAGCACATGTTACCAGTAACGATGCTAAACTACGGCTGGTTGCTGTTTGGAGAAGCCATGACCGGACGGGGTCATCACTCACCCAGGATGACCTCTCCTCGAGCGGTGTCGTGCACGGACTGACCTACTGAGAAAGGTCAAATGCAGGTCAACAACCTTAGTACCACCCGCACTGACCTCTATCAGAACGGGTCATACAATGAGAGACCCTAGCATGAACCGTAGTCTAGAAGAGGTCATGTATGGGTTGACCTTGACTGGATGGTGTCGTGGATGGTCGGAGCACCGTGACTGAAGCAATAAAGTAACTCACTCTAGTTCTTCGTCAGGAATTTCTGGTTGAGATAATCCGCCGTGTTGTCAAACCTCTTCCCGGTACTGTGACCACACCATGTTTACTGCCACACTACACTTAACCACACCATATATACTACCACACTACACTTAACCACACCATACATACTACCACACTACACTTAACCACACCATATATACTACCACACTACACTTAACCACACCATATATACTGCCACACCTTCGAATGGTCTTGGCTACGCGGCACATCGTGGGAGTGACCAGACTGCGGACAACGGAAGCAATATTTTTGTTGGGTCGTGTTGTTAAAATTATTGTTATGATGTACCATGTGGCTCTGTGCACGTCGTGGGCTGTGGGCCGACTGTGGGTTACGGAAATGATTTATAGGAGCATGAAGAATAAGTTTACTGTTATCTTAGTAATAAGAGCTTAATGGAGAGAGAGAGAGAGAGAGAGACGCATTAGTTTATGGTTGTAAGCCGATGGTTTTGGTGACAACGGAATAGATGGTGACCTGGTGATATGTGTTTTTGAGTTACTGGTGACCTGGTGATATGTGTTTTGGGGTTACTGGTGATCTGGTGGTATGTGTTTTGGGGTTACTGGTGATCTGGTGATATGTGTTTTTGAGTTACTGGTGATCTGGTGGTATGTGTTTTTGAGTTACTGGTGATCTGGTGGTATGTGTTTTTGAGTTACTGGTGATCTGGTGATATGTGTTTTTGAGTTACTGGTGATCTGGTGGTATGTGTTTTGGGGTTACTGGTGATCTGGTGGTATGTGTTTTGGGGTTACTGGTGATCTGGTGATATGTGTTTTTGAGTTACTGGTGATCTGGTGGTATGTGTTTTTGAGTTACTGGTGATCTGGTGGTATGTGTTTTTGAGTTACTGGTGATCTGGTGATATGTGTTTTTGAGTTACTGGTGATCTGGTGATATGTGTTTTTGAGTTACTGGTGATCTGGTGATATGTGTTTTTGAGTTACTGGTGATCTGGTGATATGTGTTTTGAGTTACTGGTGATCTGGTGATATGTGTTTTGAGTTACTGGTGATCTGGTGATATGTGTTTTTGAGTTACTGGTGATCTGGTGATATGTGTTTTTGAGTTACTGGTGATCTGGTGATATGTGTTTTTGAGTTACTGGTGATCTGGTGGTATGTGTTTTTGAGTTACTGGTGATCTGGTGATATGTGTTTTTGAGTTACTGGTGATCTGGTGATATGTGTTTTTGAGTTACTGGTGATCTGATCTGGTGATATGTGTTTTGGAGTTACTGGTGATCTGGTGGTATGTGTTTTTGAGTTACTGGTGATCTGGTGATATGTGTTTTTGAGTTACTGGTGACCTGGTGATATGTGTTTTTGAGTTACTGGTGACCTGGTGATATGTGTTTTGGAGTTACTGGTGATCTGGTGTTGGGAATAATGAAATCTGGTGATGGTTTGTCTTGGTGAAGCGTGTTTTTGTTTTAAAATTCGTGGTGATACGCCGCTCTACTGGTGAGACAGACTTAGCAACAACTGTCGGGACCCTTGATTCAGACTGAGTTAATGTACGTGTACCTGGCTTATGTACACACCTGAGAATATATGTTCACCAGCTTCTACACACACACACACACACACACACACACACACACACACACACACACACACACACACACACACACACACACACACCAGATGTCACCCTGGTAAACGCATTCTGAGCTTGCTGCACATGTTCGTAGCTTGGTAATGTACACCTCGACGCGTGGTTGAGTGTACACATGACCTATATGCTAAATACATCGTGTTATTATTCTTAAGATAAAGTGATACCCCTTTCTAAGTGTCTCCAGCACGCAGCCTTGCACTTGTTCACTTAACTGTACGTCACTTGTAGATTAAACTCTGTATGCTAGATGTTCAGCTCCTATGCACTTAAATGTTCAGCACTTGTAAACACTTATTCGTTCAATGCACCTGTTCACTTTAATGGTCAGCACCTGTGCACTTACCTATTGAACACGTGTGCACTTTAATCTTCGGCACTGTATACTTAGACAGATTGGCACAGTACACTTTAATGTTTAGTATTGTACACAATAATGTTCAGTATTGTACACTATACTGTTCAGTATTGTGCATTATAATGTTCAGTATTGTACACTGTATAATGCTCAGTATTGTACACTATGTTGCTCAGTATTGTACATTATACTGTTCAGTATTGTGCACTATAATCTTCAGTATTGTACACTATAATGCTCAGTATTGTACACTATGTTGCTCAGTATTGTACACTATAATGTTCAGAATTGTACATTATGTTGCTCAGTATTGTACATTATGTTGCTCAGTATTGTACACTATAATGTTCAGTATTGTACACAATAATGTTCATTATTGTACACTATACTGTTCAGTATTGTGCACTATAATGTTCAGTATTGTACACTATAATGCTCAGTATTGTACATTATGTTGCTCAGTATTGTACACTATAATGTTCAGTATTGTACATTATGTTGCTCAGTATTGTACATTATGTTGCTCAGTATTGTACACTATAATGTTCAGTATTGTACACAATAATGTTCAGTATTGTACACTATAATGTTCAGTATTGTGCATTATGTTGCTCAGTATTGTACACTATACTGTTCAGTATTGTGCACTATAATGTTCAGTATTGTACACTATGTTGCTCAGTATTGTACATTATGTTGCTCAGTATTGTACACTATAATGTTCAGTATTGTACACTATAATGTTCAGTATTGTACACTATAATGTTCAGTATTGTGCATTATGTTGCTCAGTATTGTACACTATAATGTTCAGTATTGCACACTATAATGTTCAGTATTGTACACTATGTTGTTCAGTATTGCACACTATAATGTTCAGTATTGTACACTATGGGTTCAGTATTGTACACTATGTTGTTCAGTATTGTACACTATAATGTTCAGTATTGTACACTGTGGGTTCAGTATTGTACACTATGTTGTTCAGTATTGTACACTATAATGTTCAGTATTGTACACTGTGGGTTCAGTATTGTACACTATGTTGTTCAGTATTGTACACTATAATGTTTAGTATTGTGCATTATGTTGCTCAGTATTGTACATTATGTTGTTCAGTATTGTACACTATGTTGTTCAGTATTGTACACTATAATGTTCAGTATTGTGCATTATGTTGCTCAGTATTGTACACTATAATGTTCAGTATTGCACACTATAATGTTCAGTATTGTACACTATGTTGTTCAGTATTGCACACTATAATGTTCAGTATTGTACACTATGGGTTCAGTATTGTACACTATGTTGTTCAGTATTGTACACTATAATGTTCAGTATTGTACACTGTGGGTTCAGTATTGTACACTATGTTGTTCAGTATTGTACACTATAATGTTCAGTATTGTACACTGTGGGTTCAGTATTGTACACTATGTTGTTCAGTATTGTACACTATAATGTTTAGTATTGTACACTATGTTGCTCAGTATTGTACATTATGTTGTTCAGTATTGTACACTATGTTGTTCAGTATTGCACACTATAATGTTCAGTATTGTACACTATGTTGTTCAGTATTGTACACTATAATGTTCAGTATTGTACACTATAATGTTCTGTATTGTACATTATGTTGTTCAGTATTGTACACTATAATGTTCAGTATTGTACACTATAATGTTCAGTATTGTACACTATGTTGTTCAGTATTGTACACTATGTTGTTCAGTATTGTACACTATAATGTTCAGTATTGTACACTATGTTGTTCAGTATTGTACACTATAATGTTCAGTATTGTGCATGTTGTTGCTCAGTATTGTACACTATAATGTTCAGTATTGTACACTATGTTGCTCAGTATTGTACACTATAATGTTCAGTATTGTACACTATGTTGTTCAGTATTGTACACTATGTTGTTCAGTATTGTACACAATAATGTTTAGTATTGTGCATTATGTTGCTCAGTATTGTACACTAGAATGTTCAGTATTGTACACTGTGTTGTTCAGTATTGTACACTATGTTGTTCAGTATTGTACACAATAATGTTCAGTATTGTGCATTATGTTGCTCAGTATTGTACACAATAATGTTCAGTATTGGTACACTATGTTGTTCAGTATTGTACACTATGTTGTTCAGTATTGTACACAAATGTTCAGTATTGTGCATTATGTTGCTCAGTATTGTACACTATATTGTTCAGTATTGTACACTATGTTGCTCAGTATTGTACACAATAATGTTCAGTATTGTACACTATGTTATTCAGTATTGTACACTATGCTGCTCAGTATTGTACACTATGTTGCTCAGTATTGTACACAATAATGTTCAGTATTGTACACTATGTTGTTCAGTATTGTACACAATAATGTTCAGTATTGTACACTATGTTGTTCAGTATTGTACACAATAATGTTCAGTATTGTACACTATGTTATTCAGTATTGTACACTATGTTATTCAGTATTGTACACTATGTTGCTCAGTATTGTACACTATGTTGTTCAGTATTGTACACAATAATGTTCAGTATTGTACACTATATTGTTCAGTATTGTACACAATAATGTTCAGTATTGTACACTATGTTGTTCAGTATTGTACACTATGTTGTTCAGTATTGTACATTATGTTGCTCAGTATTGTACACAATAATGTTCAGTATTGTACACTATGTTGCTCAGTATTGTACACAATAATGTGCAGTATTGTACACTATGTTGCTCAGTATTGTACACTATGTTGTTCAGTATTGTACACTATGTTGCTCAGTATTGTACACAATAATGTTCAGTATTGTACATTATGTTGCTCAGTATTGTACACAATAATGTTCAGTATTGTACATTATGTTGTTCAGTATTGTACACTATGTTGCTCAGTATTGTACACTATGTTGTTCAGTATTGTACACTATATTGTTCAGTATTGTACACTATGTTGTTCAGTATTGTACACAATAATGTTCAGTATTGTGCATTATGTTGCTCAGTATTGTACACTACATTGTTCAGTATTGTGCATTATGTTGCTCAGTATTGTACACTATGTTGTTCAGTATTGTACACTATGTTGTTCAGTATTGTACACAATGATGTTCAGTATTGTACACTATAGTGTTCAGTATTG